TGTAAGTAGACACAATACCTTTATTTTATTTTTATTTGGTGCTGAGGATTGAACCTAGTGTCTTAAGCATTCGAGGCAAGCACTCTACTACTGAGCCACAACCCCAGCCCCAGCAGTAACTAATTTTTAAGTGATCATATCTCACTTCAAGGAACATATGCTTCAGGTATGTTCCAGACATGCTAACACAAAGCTGTTCTCCTCCTTCAAAGCACTGTTCAGCTGGGCACAGTGACACACACCAGTGATCCCAGCAACTTGGGAGGACCATAAAGGAGGATCACAAGCTCAAAGCCAGCCTCAGCAACTTAGCAAGGCCTCTCTGAAAATAAAAAATAAAAATAGCTGAGGATGTGACTCAGTGATTTAGCAGCCCTGGTTCAATCCCCAGTACAAAAACAAAACAAAATCCGGTGAGGAGGAGAATGCCTGTGAGGCAGGAGGATCATGAGTTCTAAGCCAGACTCAGCAATGGCGAGGCACTGAGCAACTCAGTGAGACCCTGTCTCTAAATAAAATAAAAAATAGGGCTGGGATGTGGCTCAGTGCCCCAAGTTCAATCCCTGGTACCAAAAAAACAAACAAACAAAAAACCCAACCAGGGACTGGGGATACAGCTCAGTTGGTGGAGTGCTTGCCTCATATGCACAAGGCCCTGGGTTCAATCCTCAACACCACAAAAAACAAACAAAACCAATATTATTAGCACTCAGAGAAAAACCTTAAGACAATTTAATTAATTCAGACCGCGATCCCTGGGGTCAGTGTGAACAACATATGGAAAGCCTCACCTCAACTAACTAACTAAATAAAGAGCCAGGTAGAGTGGTAATCTCAGTGACTCAGGAGGTTGAGGCAAAAGGATTACTAGTTAGAAGCCAGCCTCAGCAATTTAGTTAGTCTCTGTCTCAAAAAATAAAAAGCGCTGGGGGCCGTCTCTCCCTCTGGAGTTGGCCTGCATTGTCTCTGGAAGGTGTATTCCTTATTTTCTGATTAAGATTTCACCTGGGCATGGTAAAAGAACTGCTTCAGATAAAAACATTGTATCATTAGCTGGGCTCTGGGAGCAGGCCTGCAATCCCAGCTGAGGCAGGAGGATCACAAATTCAAAGCCAGCCTCAGCAAAAGCCAGATCCTAGGCAACTCAGTGAGATGTCTCTAAATAAAATACAAAATACAGCTGGAGTGCCCCGAGTTCAATTCCCGGCACCAAACAAACAAACAAAAAAATCCCAAACACCATATCATTAAGCCAGGCACACTGTAATTTCAGTGATTTGAGAGGCTGAGACAGGAGGATAGCACCCTGGAGACCAGTCTCTACCCTGTGCCAAAACCAAGGAACCAAACAAAAAACCCACAAGAAACTTATTAAAATGACTATTTCTGGGCACGAGAAAAATACACATTTTACTTATACCTTTGTATACTGCTCAAATTTTTTGTGTGTACTGCTTTCATGTCTACCTACATGAAGTGACTGTGGACCATTTTTTCCCTTTATTTATTCATTTACTTTTTTTAAATTTTAGGACAGGGCCTCCCTAAACTGCTTTGTTGGACCTTGACAAGTTACTGGGGCTGCCCCTGAATTTGTATTCTGCCTCAGCCTCCCAAGTCACTGGGATTACAGGTGTGTGCTACCACACTCCACCCCTTTTTCCCTTGATAATTTTCTGAATTTATTCTCATAACCGATCTAAAAATAGGGTGGGTGGGTTTGTTTGTTTTCCTGGTTTGTGGTGAGGCATTCTTGTAATCCCAACCATTTGGGAGACTGAGGCAGGAGGATTAAATTGGAGGCCAGCCCGAGCAATTTAGCAAGACTGTGGATGTGGGTCCCTGGTAACCCCTAACCCTGGTTCAATCCCCAGTATTAATAACACTAATAAATATATGTGGCCACTAGAAAACATAGTATTAGATCTGTGGCTTACAATTTCTTTCTTTTTCCTTTGTGGTGCTGGGGACTGAAGCTAGGGGCCTTGCACAGTCTGGGCAAGTGTCCTACCACTGAACTATCTCCCCAACCCCTCCAACTTACTCCTGCTGGACAATGCAGGCTTAGACCATGCTTGGCATTACAATCCAGGTCACCGTGAAAACAGAGGAAGTGCCCTTTTGATCCACCAAAAGGGGTGTTAGGAAGCCTTGGAAAGGAAAGGAGAGGAAAGACAAGGGCCCCACCTCCTGGGAAGCTATAACCCAGTGGGAGACAGAGTGGTGAGAAGTCTCATTTTGTCCTCTTTAACTGGGCTGCCTGGGCGGTTTGAAAGGGGCATCCTAATAAGCAGGGGAACAGATGCCACCAGGGCGTCCAGACTTTGCTGGCAGCTGCAGAAGAGGGAGAAGAAGGCTTTTCCGACTCCACCACCAGGACCGGGGCCTCCACCTCGGCCTCGCCTTGGACTTTATGGAGACCAGGGCCTCCAGGTGCTCAGACCCCTCGTCCCCAACGCATGCTGCAGTCCCGCGCTCCCTGACCTCCCTCGGTTCCCCGAGGGACAGCTCATCAGCGCCTGCGCTGTGTCGTCCTCCGAGGACCCCACACTCCTGGGGTCGCAGGCCACCCGAGAAGTCTCCCGCCGCACCTCTGCGCCCCGCAGCCCCGAGATCCCTCGGCTCAGCCCCGAAAGGCCCCGAGCTGGCCGCAGCCGGCCCCGCGCCCCCGCCCTCGACGCCCCGCGGCGCCCACCTGCGCGCCCAGCTGGTTCAGCTGCTGC